CTTGGGCGGGCGCGTCTGCGCGGGGGGAAGTTAGGGGTGTCCCCTTCACCGAGGGGAAAGCAAAGCAGCCGGCGTGCCTCCGGCGCAGAGGCTGGAAGTGAAGCGTGTGTATGTGTGCTATGCAGTTATGTTTAAATTACGACTGTTCAGTTTTTACACCCGGGTGCATTGACCAGGTGCTTGGGGGTAACATCCGAGTAACAAGCAGTGCCTGGGCCCTGCTGGCACTGAGCGGCTGTGGTCAGTTTTGTGGGGTGCTGGATATCACAGAGCCATTCAGGATGTAACAGCTGAACGTGTGTGGAGGTTCACACCCATACTTGCACTTTGTGTTTTATCCACGATGAGTTGGTGATTGCTGAAGACATTGCAGCCTAAAGTGGCTTTAGATATATCCCCCATGGCTGTTAGGTAAGGACCTGGGGGAGATGTAGTCCGGTTTTGTGCGTGTTGACTGATAAGTGCACCTTGCTTTCTGATTTCCCACACAAATAAGTGACTATTTCCCTGTTTCTCGGGGGGAGGGAGTGTTTTTCTTTTAGTCGGAGAATTAAAGCACTTTAAGAAAGGGTGATATACTCCATAGCTACTGTGTTGTGCAGCACAAAAATCTGGGTGTTTCTGGAGCTAATGCTAAGTACAGTGCTCTTCTTCTCAATCTGTTTTAATTAGGCTAGTACTGCTGTCATAGAAGCAATTACTGTGTGGTTTTTTTTTTCCCTTAAAGCTAAAGTTTATTTTTCCAGAATCACATGTATGATGTATGCAAGTTCAGACTTGTTTTTTTCATCCTGCCAGGCTATAGACAGTTGCTGAGAGATGAACATAGTTTCCTATAAAACTTCTGGTTGACTTCATAATGGCATTTTTAATGTGGTGGTGGTGGTGGGAAGCACAGCGCTGTTGTGCATTCAACATTTAAAAGGCAAGTTATCAGTTGCCTTAAGTGTTGAAGAAACAATTCCAAGGCATTTTCCATGAACACTGGTGTTAAAGCATGTTCAAATCATCTGTTGTTTGAATAATATTGCTGAAATGTACAACACCAAAGGATACCACAACTTATAGGGGAGAGGGATGCAGAAGCATTCCAGACTAAGACTCAACCTTACATAAAGAACCTGGCCAAACTTTCTCTTGAAACTTTGTGAATGGTGTCTCTGTTTTCTTGAGGATATGTGAATATCAGGAGAAACTGAGCTGAAGGTGCTTGCTATACAAAGCAACAAGCAAAAGTCTGCTGAGAGGTCATATGATTGACTTGCAGATACCATCTTTAGTGCATTCATTGTAGGAGTGGTCAAACCTTGCCACATGAGCTGCGTGCAGCTTGTTAGCACTTCCACTTCAGTGTCACTTGTCAACCATGTGGATTTTCTCTGGACTGCATAGATTTTTAGTGTGGCTTCTTAGAACTTGGAAGAAAATGTTCTCGTCGGCGAAATATGCCTGTAGCTTCTACGGAGCAGCTGTGGAAACTGGTGTTTCATGAAGGAACATGTATCAGCTGCTAGGCAGGAAGTAGACTCATACCAGTTTTTGATCCTTGGCACAGGAAAAAGTCAACCATCACTCATAGGTTCCATCAGCTCCTCGTGTTCCTGCTCTTTCAAACGCTTCACTAAGTTTTGCTTAAACAAAGATGAAGGTAGTAAGCACCTTTGCCTAGCAGGCTAGAAGTGCAGGCTTAGTGAGGCAGAGTGGAAGAAATCAGAGTGTATTGAGGTTAAAGATTATGTGCTGTGGGAAAGTATGTCTCTTGGCCGTATGAAGGCTTTGGTACACAGTAAGTAGGCTTGACAAGTATGGCTTCCCCTAATATAGAACATGGTTTGGTTTTGTTTGTTTTTCTTTAATGTAGATGTAATAATGTTTCTTTAAAACAAGAGAGTTTGGAGGTGTTAGCTGTGACAACAAATGAACAACCATAAATTTGGGTTGTTTCACTTGTAACTTGCACAAGGTCCTGTATTGTAGTGCAGAAGGGAAGAAAGCAGTGCGCCACCAAACTTAATCTTTCAGTCCTGCTCTTACTTGCAGTTCATTCTACTTCTCGTTCTGAAGTTAACTTGGCCAAACAAAGAGCATGTCTTGTGCTTGCTCAGGTGTGCCTGTCTTTGGTTTTCTTGTTACAAGGGCTGCAGAAGTCACAGCATTGACAGTATTTCTCTTGAGCTGAAGTTAAAACTTCATTGTGATACACATGCAGAGTCTCCATTTGAAAACTTCAAGTCCCCATAAAACAGCAATCGGAGTGAATCGTCGGACAGTGTAGTGGCTGGTTACTTAGTTTGATTGCTCTGAGTGTTTACCTAGGAGCTCTGAATAGCTCTCTGCAGAGATGCTGATCTCTTGCCAATGACTAGGCAGGGGACGTGGGCTTCTAACTGTCACTCATGACCTGTGGTCATAGGAGATGTCTGTAGTAGGTGGGGTGAATGTCCCCCCTCTAGCATCTAATGAGACACCTCCTCTTCCGTTGAGTGGAGATGTTCTGTTTCACCACATTGTGTATAATGCATGTGGCTGAACTCTTTCCAGGGCACGTGAAATGGCAGCAGATGACAAACAGTCTCCGACACTGGACTCTACCAGTGATCTACCTCGTTCTCCTAGCAGTCCATCTCATCTCACTCACTTCAAACCCCTGACTCCTGACCAGGATGAACCTCCTTTTAAATCAGCCTACAGCTCTTTTGTAAATCTCTTCCGTTTCAGCAAAGGTAAGTGTAAGGAAAATGTATGCTCGTGGATTGTGCATGCTGTCTGTTTTGTTAATGCCCTCTGCTGCCACATAAACTTGTAAAAACACCTTTGAATATAAAAGCATAATGTCAGACAGCTGGCCAAATGAATGGTGAGTCAGTTCGTTTGTGATCGATGTTGCATCTTGCTTTTGGATGACTCCTTTGCTGTGGGAGAAGGTGGCCAGCATCTTGCAGCTACAGATCTGTGGATGCCTGTGAAGGTCAGAGACAAGCCAGTTAACAGATAGTGTTATGTAGCTTTTTAGGTGGGCATCTGGGTTTCGTTTGCCTGTATGAAGCTTTTGGGGCTAAAAGCAGGAGTAACCTTCGGCCAGCCTATATGAGCAAAATGTATGCCTATCCTTCCAATACAAGTTCTTCCTCCAGACTTCCTCCACTCCTTACCTTGCTGTGCCTCTTATACCTTCAGCTGGATGGCAGCTGAGCTGCAATAAAGCAGTGTATTTGCAGGAAGTCCACCCTTAATTTGCATGGCTTAGGTGTTCCCTGTCAAGATGTCTGAAGTGTTGTGAAAGTTTTGTATATTGAAAACTAGTACTTGATTTTAGCATTTGTGCTATATGTATCATGAAATACATATTCTCAGGCAAGCTCTTAAAGAAGTATGCAAGTTTTTTCTTTCAAAGAAATATACGGCAAAGAGTGGTGAGTGAATTCACCTTGAGTTTGTGCAAAAACTGTGTGTATCTCTGCTAGAGATGGCAAACTGGTCAGCTGCTTTTGTTTAGTCTATTCATTATCCAGCTCTCCTAAGCATACTTCTGCAGTGTTTGGGCTAGGGAAAAAGGGCCAAGATAGCTTTTTGCATAAGCAAGCTGATCTGTTCAGACTCTTCTTATGCAGAATGAAAAATAATTACTGGTATTAGTTTGCATAGTAGAATATCACATGTCAGTTTATTGAAAGTAACATAAAATGTGGTCAATATTGGCTTTACTTGTTTGTCTCTGACCAATGTAGCTGGACTCAGCACATTACTGTGTTGAAAGAATGGGAAAACAACCTTGAAACAGCACATGAAATGGGCATGTTACTAGAATCAGTGAGAACCTGTTTATACTTGATCCTCTGACGGAAAAGGGTGATTTATTAAAGGCTGTGGTAACTTCAGTGTGACCTCAGACTCAGTGGCTTCTAACGTAACCGAAAAACTCTTTCCAGGCCAGAAGCTGATAATCAAGCATAGCTATTCCATATGGCAGGAATAATTCATACTTGTTGGTTGGGTTTTTAAGACACTTTTCACAGTAGGGATATTTCTGAAATAGCCTGAGCCTTGACAGGCAACTTCTACATACTGGCCTGTTTCCATGTTTTGTATGGTACTTTTAAGACTAAAAATTCATGTCTGTTGTTATGTTTAATTGTGATCCAAATGAGGTATTTGTGAGAGCTTTTTTACCCTTGGTTTTGCAAGCACTACTGGTTTTCTTTATCATGTCTGAACAGTTGGTTTCTTGCTTTTTGTCAACTCCAGATGATGGCAGGCTTTCATCCCCGGCAGAGAGAGCAGAGGCAGCACAGAGTGATCCACAAGCATTGAGTGGTGGCTGGTCCAGTCCTCAGCATCCCACGAGGGCTCAGTCTCTGAGGTCACCAGCTCCTTACAAAAAACAACTGACTGGTGAGCTGCAAAGAAGATCTTCTGCAAGCCTGGGTAATTTCAACTCTTTGTGCTACAAGGGAATGTTGTACTAGCCAGTCTGGGATGCTTCACAGAGAGGTGGAAGGAGGTGAAGAAAGGTTTGTTGAATGTCTAGATTGATAGCAGAATGTGGTACCGGGCTATGCTGCTTCTATTAGTGAGATTGCACTTTAACCTCAGAAGCATGTTCCCTCCACCCTTCTTAGTGTTCCAGCAAGACAGTGTTATTGAGGCTTTACTGTTTCCATTACGAAACAGTCTGGAAAAAAGAGGCTTCCAAGACGCATCTAGTGTCTTAAAGTCACTTGAACCTTGACCCCGAAAATTTCTACGTTGTCTTGAGAGACTAGAGTTTCTTAATAGGCACATGCAAACTATAATTTCAGAACTCAGCCTGAATGGGGTTGATGTTTGTATCTTCAAGGGAGTTATAACTGCAGGTTTTTGCTTGTAGCTGTGTTGAGGAGAACTAAATAGGAACCTATGTGTAAACATTTTTTATTGCTAACCTTGGAACTATTGCCAGATGTCATACTGAATCTCTTTTAGCTGGAATGAGGGTTGAATGTGATTTCAAAGGTGCAACTGTATAATGGCTTTATGAAGATCTGGAAGAGCTAGTAAGCAGATTTCAAGGGTCTGTCTTGAGATCTGCCTGGTTACTGTTGGCCGTTTGTGATAGTCTTGAGCAAACTGCTAAGCTTGGTAAAAATCCTGTGCAAGACAGTATTTCCAAGAGTGTGGTACCTAGTGCAAACAAATCAGATCTTAAACATTGTTCATGTGCATGGGAGTTTTAGAAAGATGTCTAGTCTTGGTAATCAGGCAAAAGCCCGGTACAGACAACTATCGTTTTCATCTAAGTCATTTGCGTGCTGTCTTAGTTGAAAAAATTCATCATCTTCCTCCTTGCCCTCTAGTACTGTTTGTGCTATTCAGTTGTACCTGCCACAACAAACCAGTTAAGATTGGTTGGTTGGTTTGCTTGGGTTTTTTTAAAGCTTTTGCTCAAAAGCCCCAAATACAGTAGTGTGCTCTTGGCTGATTTGGCGATTCACTTAATTCCTAGTTACCGCTTGTAAATTACTTGGAAATTATCTGGGGGTTACAGGTTAGAAACCTTTAGGTGAGGTAGGTTGTTTGGTACTCAGAATACAGAAATAATCTTGCTGTTTGGCTTGCACTGGGAGTGGGCAGCCAGGTAAAGGAGACTTAGTTTAAGGTGTGTGGGAGGAACTATTACTGCATTAGAAGGGCAACAAAGCTGGTGAAAGGCCTAGAGAATAATTTATGAGCGGCGGCTGAGGGAGCTGGGGCTATTTACTCTTAAGAAAAGGAGGCTGAGGGGGTACCTTGTTGCTCTCTACAGTTACCTGAGAGGACATTGTAGAGAGGTAGGTGCTGGTCTCTTCTCACAGGTAGTTAATGATGGAACAAGAGGGAACGGACTCAAGCTGCACCAGGGTAGGTTTAGGCTAGACATTGGGAAAACCTTTTCACTGAAAGGGTTGTCAGACATTGGAATAGGCTGCCCAGGGAGGTGGTTGAGTCACCATCCTTTAATGTGTTTAAAGGTCATTTAGATGTGGTGCTTGGCAGTATGATTTAGGGGTGTACTTGGTAGAGTAGGGTTGATGGCTGGACTCGGTGATCTCAAATGTTTTTTCCAACCTGAATGATTCTATGATTATTCCAACTCCTTTTCAGGACCTCCATTCATGTCCCTGGATTTGGATGAAAGTACACTTAGAAAAATGTGGTGATGAATCAGCCTGGAAAGAAGTAAAGTTAAACCAAGCAGGATTTGCTGCCTTTTTTGAAAAGCTTTCCGTGATATTGGGTGCTGAGTGGCCTGACTTGCTGTTGAGTCCAAATAGCTGCTTCCCCCAAATAGCCTTGGTGCTGTAACAAACATGAACTCTGTGTAATGCAAGTAAAAGTGTACTGGATTGGTGACGACGTTTCAGGGGAGTTTTTCAGGTCATCTTACTGTATTTGAAGAGGGGCAGAATACTTGCATCTTCCCTCTCCAAAAATCAGGCATTGCTTTTTTTGAAGCAAACTTCAGAAAATTAATTTTAGTGCCTTCTTTTGTCTTAAAAGATTACTGTTGGTAATTTGAGGTCTTCTGAACAGTGAGCAGAGGAGAATTTGAGGCTTTCTGAACAGTGAGCAGAGGAGAATTTTACTTCTGCCGTTGCAGCTGATGCTGGGCTGCACGAATAATCTAGAAATTATTCTCATATCTAAAGAGTGAAAAGTATGAAAAGAAGTGATGTGATTTACATAAACACCTAGATTGGTAGGTCAATTCAGTGACAGCGGCGTGTCTAAACTGGTTGAATTTTCTTGCAACCTTGTATCTGCAGGCCTGTGAATGTCACTCTAGGCTTGGCCGTTACTCAGCTACTTCATAATGTCGGCAAGTGTAGGCAGGAAAATGCATAAATCCTTCACAAAGGTCTCTGTAGCCTATTTGAGTTTAAATAACATGCAAACTGAAACTTAAGCAAACTGAAAGGAATAAATAAAAGTGTGCTGGTGCATCTAAACAGTAATGGAATGAGATTACGCATGAAGGTGCTGACTCCTCCGCCTTATCTGTCCTTTAGCTTGGACTGTCTGCACAGGAGATATTCTCCTTGCTCGGGGACCGTGCTGGCTGACAACTGCAAGCGCTAAACAACATGGAAGGATGGTGGCTTTTGTAGGGAGCTCTCTAGCATCGAATATGTAGTTGTGTGCTTCCCTTCAGGACTGCTTGCACGAAAATGTTACAGTAACGCCTTGCTGGCTTTTGTGAAAATAGGAGAAGCTGCTGTACACCTGGCTTACATCAGAGATGCTTTGTGGGTTGTATGGCTGAAGAACCAGTGCTGAGACTCTGCATAGACTTCTGTGGCCTCCCTCTTGGGTAATCTGGTAAACTCCAGCACATCCTTATGTGTTGGAGTAGGGTGCTGGGGAGCTGGTGTCACTTCTACAGAAACAGTGGGTGCAGCTGCTTGTATTGGACTGCATATGTCTGTGTGTGCTGTCAGCTGAGTGCTTTCAAGGTGCTGGGTTGAGCCAAAATAGTCTCACACTGAGATGATGTCACAGCTTGCAAATCCAGTTTAAGGAGAACTAGAAATGATGACCAATTGGAGAGGGAGCATTGGTAGTAAAAGCACTTCTAGCTTGTTACCTTGTCATGCAGGATAATGTTATTAATGCTAGACAATTGTAGCAGGCTGGCAGTAATAGGAAGTGGCAAAGGAGCTTAGCAGGAGTAAGGAAAGGCCAATGATCTTATCGGCAGAAGAAGGCCTGAGGAGAGCGTGTGGTCATTACTGGGAATCATGAAGAACATGACTTATTACCAGAGCATCTTTTCTGTTGAAAAATGTTTTGGAAAATGAAAATGCATGTTGTAAAATGAAATTAAGAACAACTTTCATAGTTTTCATGTCAGTACTTTGTATGGCAGTGACTTGAGGAAGATGCAATCTTTGAACTGCGATAGTGAACTTGAATATGGAATTATATGCTTTGGCAGTGAATAACTGGAAAGCAATTCATGTTGATTCATATTAGCAAAACTGTGGTATCCCTGGTGGGGGCATTTGTTTATTGCTGAAACTGTGTGAAGCTCTCTGTTGAACCTCTTGTTTTAGTGTATGATCAGCTCTCTTCCTGTAAACTGAAATAGCAGTTAAGTTTCAACAAAGTAGTTCCTGTAGTGTTTTTGACGTGTCATTCACTGTAAAATGAATGCTAAAATGCATAGAGTCATGAAAGAAACTCTAGAAAAATATATTTCAGTGATTCAGCAGCTGAGGATGCAGAACAGTTGCATGACTTACTGACCAAATCTTTCTGTGGCCCGAACTCAGAAGAGTGTATTAAGTAGACAATCATAGCTGTAATGGTATTGCAGGTTCCTTCCCAGTGATCACAGTTCAGGGCAGGGGAGTAGGAAAAAGAGGAGAAAAACATAAAGTATTTCAGAGGATGTATGGGTTTTGCCAAGGATCAGCAGCCATGAATACATATAGGAAGGATGATATAGGAAGGACTGCCCCTCTACTCTGCCCTCGTGAGACCCCACCAGGAATACCGTGTCCAGCTCTGGAACTCCCAACACAGAAAGAAAGAGATGGAGCTGTTGGAGTGTGTCCAGAGGAGGGCTACCAAGATGGTCAGAGGAGTGGAACACCTTTCCTACAAGGACAGGCTGAGAGAGTTGGGCTTGTTCAGCCTGGAAAAGCGAAGGCTCTGGAAAAGACCTTATAGCGGCCTTCCAGTACCTGAAGGGGGCCTGCAGTAAAGATGAGGGGGGACTTTTTACAAGGGCCTGCAGTGATAGGATGAGGGGTAATGGTTGGAAGCTGGGAGAGGGCAGGTTTAGACTAGATATAAGAAAGAAGTCCTTCACCCTGAGGGTGGTGAGACACTGGAACAGGTTACCTAAAGGAGTTGTTGATGCCCCCTCCCTGGAAGTGTTCAAGACCATGTTGGATGGATCCTTGAGCAACCTGGTCTAGTGGGAGGTGTCCCTGCCATGGCAGGGGGGTGGAACTAGGTCATCTTTGAGGTCGCTTCCAACCCAAACCATTCTATGAGGATTACTGTTGAAATATGAGGGTTTTTTTTTCCTTTTTTAAGCGGTGGGAGTTAATTTTTAGCTTAAGAAGGATGAATAGATTAGAAATAAGTTAAATTGGAAATTTAGATGGGGTTCCTTTGGTATATTGAGGTTTTGTTTGATGAATGTGTAGATGGCAGGCAAATGGATAGGAAAAACACAATTGCTGCATAAACTTGTAGTCCTGAAAAGGTATGTTCCACACTCATGTTGATGTGTTACATTGAAGGGCTGAGATGCAGCTGGCCCTTTTTTGTTAAATACAAAATGGTATCAAGTGAAAAATTACAGTCTTTGTATGGGTGTTTGGCTAGGGAGGAAGAATAAATGGGTGAAGATATGGTAGAGTTGTGGACTGAAAAAAGTATAAGGACTCTACATATCAAAACCATGAGGAAGCTGTCTTCACTTCCTGCAGTTGTTTTTGTGATGGTTGGACGGTGACAAGCAAAAGTTTCTGAAGCTGATCTGGTTGTCATAACAGATTAAATTACATTTAAATAAAGTTTAATTTTATTTTAAAAGCCTAATTTCTTGTGTGTAATTTTAATTGTGACTGGTGGGGCGTGTGTGGATTTTTGTGGGTGGGGTTTTTGTTTGGTTGGTTTTTTTGGTGTGTGTTTTGTTTTGTTTTGTTTTTAAGCATATACAGAGTTTACTGTTTCAGGAGCACTAAAAAAAGCTTACCACTACTTAGATGTGTAAGTATGGTCAACTCTCTTGGGATCATATCAAAAGAAGATATGAAATCTCTTCAGAAGTGTGACTGATAGCAGTTGGGATGATGATGATGTGATACTCATGTTTGTGGAAGGAAATGTGGGTTTTGCAGATTTAATGATGAAATAAGGAAATAGAGTTACAGTGCTGAAAATGTGCACCTCTGTAAATCATGCGTGCATTAACTGAGAAAATGGCTGTGCTATTTATAGTAATGGAATTTGGATCAGGAGTTAGCCTAAAACTGATACATGTGAATTCTTTTATAAGGCTGGTGTTTCAGATACAATGTGTCCTGTACTGCAGGAGCGATAACTTCTTACATTCTTGCTGTACAGTGTGTTTTCCCCCAGAAAGGAAGAAATCACATGATTGAAAAGGAAAAGAGCCAATTGAATTTTAATCTGGGAATCAGTCAGCTTCTCTGGTATAAACAGGTTAGCCATGTGCTCCTACTGCTGATGGCATGCTTTTTCTAGTGTAGATGACGTCCTTTTGACATTGTTTTATGTAACACAGAAAAAGGCATTTAACAACAAAACCAGCGTGGAGTTACCTGTGGCATTTCTTCAGTGCTGTGTATGTTCATACTTCGGGAATCACTTGCCTGACAAGATTTGTAGTTAGTTAGGCAGGAGGCCAGATAGTCATTTTCTGAATTGGAGGCAACATTCCTGGAAAGAAGATACTCTTGAATTCAAAAGTTACAGCAGGGAAGTCCAGGAAGTAAATGCAGCATAGGCCTTGTGATAGAAGTAAGGAGGAGCCAAAGGTTTCTGTGGTATTGGCAATGTTTTCTTGAAATATTAAAGTTTCTTTAATCACTGTAAAGTACTCAACTTGCTACTGTCCAAAAGTATACTTGTTTGATTTTTTAAAAAATAAATCCCAAGTGGCTAGCCACAGAATTTGGTTTAAGCACTCTAGAATCTCTTTAAAAAATCTTGTTGTGGATTCTTTGTTGTACATAGGTCATTAAGCAGCTGTATGTGGGATGATTATCTAGAAATATCCATTAAGAACCTGAAGAGGAGGCATGGAATACCACAGTTTTAGTCACATTACTCTAAGGGTGTTGATCTCCTGCACACAAAGGAATAGCCTTGCTGTTACTGCATGGCAACAGTTAACATGCTTCTGCTACTGCTTTCAGCATTCCCGCTGACATCAGTGATATGTAAAGCAGTAAACAGAAAGCAGCCATGTCTGTTCTTCCTGTACTAGGAGAATCAACATAAAATGCTAGTCAGATGGAGAGCAGCGAAGCTGGTAAGAAACTTTAAACTATTCAGAAAAGTTGTTGATGTGGAAAAGTGACTGGAAATGTTTAAATGTTGAGGTAAATACAGCACCGTGTCTGCAGATCCTTCTGGAGGGAAGTATCCTGTTTGTGACTTGTACAGCAATGCTTCAAAGTAATCTAGCATTTCATAGGAAAGATCTAAACCGTGTTACCTTTTTATTCAGGAGTGTCTTGGCTATAGTTAATCAAGAATGACTGTACAAGTTCTCAAAAACGTGGCTTTTTTCTTAGAAAATAACAAAACAAAGAAACCCTCAAAAATGTGAAGTTCTGAATGCATTTTATTCTTTACTTTTTTAATAGAAACTGAGCAATTGAGTCCTGAGACTTGCTGTAGTCATTTATAAATTAATTTCAGGTTAAGGCATTGACTTATGCCAGTCCTAGAATGAGTGTGAATATTGTTGCAATTATTTTGTAAGTATTAATATCCTAGAGGGAGTTCCAAAATGAGACTTCAGTGCTTTCTAAAAGACTATTACAAGGTTCATATAGCAAGTTGAAAATAACTTCACTTCTTTAAGAGATGTTTTCATTCTCGGAGAACTTAGATCTGTTCTTGTAAACACAGAGGGTAGTATTTAAAGCAAGCTATCTGGCATCAGAAGCTCCTTTTTGGGGGGAGAAGAGTGTGAGGGCAAGAAGTGATACAAGCTGTAACTTTGTAAAGTGCATACATATGTGAACATTTCTCCTTCTAATGGGGTTTTGTGTGGTGATGTGAATGTTCATGTATTGTGGAAGAAATTAATACTACTCTCCCTTCCTTTCCAGACAATCGAAGGAAAGTAGAACCACCTCTTGGAGGTCATGATCCTCGAACAGCTGTTCAGTTAAGAAGCCTCAGCACTGTTTTAAAGCGCCTCAAAGAAATCATGGAGGGGAAGAGCCAGGTACTACTTCTGAGGGGTTTGTAGACTGAACTATTTAGAAACCGAATTGTTTGAAGAGAAGCCCAGTATTTTTCCAGATATTTGAAGGATGAGTGAATAAACTCAGAAATTGAGTGAGTACAAGGAAAACAACTTAAGTTGATGCTGACTTTTGAGATGTCAAACATCTGTCACGTTGTTGGAATGAAACATTGCAGTTGCTCAGCTTCTTGAACTTGGACCAGATGCTCTCATTTTAGACTCCTTCCCACTTCTGTATTATCTGATGATTTTCTATCTTGAAGGCTAACCGTGGGCAGGTGAAACATGTTGACTGTCACAAATAGTAATGGGAATTCTGAGGATGAATTAAATCTGCTGTTTACTGTGGTAATGATTGGTCAGAATATTTGCTTGAAAGGCTTGTCCTGTTAATCAGTTTTGATTCAGCTGGATGAGGGTCTGGTGGTTGCTACTGACATACCGATTTCGCTTCCCTCTGCTGTGTTAGACCATGCCTTTAAGAGAAGGATCTAGTTGAGAAAAAAAAGCCACAACTATTTATAAGTGACTATATAAATAGCTGTGTCCGGGAGCAAGACATGAACAGGCAAAAGTACATTTAGTTGAATGGAGTGAAGAGGAAAAAGGCTTTTGGCTTGGTAGCTTTTACAGCTGGAATGTGACATAGTGCTATTATGCTTGTAAAAGTAACTTTGCTTTGGTTAAAAGGGTGATATTTTTGAGGGTGAAACAAAAGCCTTTCATTGCAGTAAGCAGGGCATTGAGTGTGGCCCCTACTAATATTTCAGTTTGTGGCAGCTTCTGAAGGCCCTGGAGATTTTCAGACATCTTTGAAGCTATCGGAGAAGTGCTCAAACAGACAGGATGCAGTGGTAAATGAATCTGTCTAGACCTTTCCTGAAAGTGGTATGTTAGTTGTCAGCTTGCTGACTTCTGTACAACTGGTAATGCGTTGCTGCCCTTGGCTGCAGCCATGTCTTGCTTGAGTTACTCCAGGCAACAATTTCTTTCTACTGTTGACTTGGTCTGTCTCTACAGGAGACCACTTTACTATAGTAGAAAGCATGTGTCTGATCCTGGAAGGTGCTACTCTAATCAACCTCTACTGCTAATGGGGGCCAGACTTCTGAACCTTTCCTTGTAGACTGTTCTTGTGAGTGCTGGCTGAGACTTAAGCAAGGGTCTGGAGGGTGTCACCAGCAATGGCTGGGTTTCTAAACACCCAGTCATGTGCAAGCAGGGCAGAGGTGATGTGGGAGAGATGGTGGGCAGAAGCACTGCTGCCTGGAACAGCCACTCTCTCTGTGGCAGAACCAGAGACTTGGCTTGTCATGCAGAACCACAGCAAAAACTGTTAATTGGCATCCCCTGCAGCTTTGCAGCAGTTGCTTGGCAATGCTCTTCACTGCATTTTTCTCTGCTTGAGATTTAGTGTTCATCTTAAAAATTTCAAGACTCTCTTGAACACTAGACTGCCTTGAGCAGTCTTCAACCTTTCTGTATGAGTTTTCTTGGGTGAGGACAGCATGAAATTGTTGTCTTGTTGATCATAGCTCTTTTGGTCTCAAAATTGGTCTAGCAGCTATTTCAAACTTCACTTTGTGAATATCCAGAAATAAACCCCAATTCAGAGTATGCTTTTTTTTTGATTATGTGAAAATCAGAGCATAGATCACCTTTCTTCTCAGTGATTTTGAGAAAGTTCTTGCAGCACTTTCTCTTTATAAGAAAAACCCAGAGTATTCAGTCCGTCTGAAAAGGCTTATTGCCAGAACTGAACTCTAGCAAAGAGTCTTTCACAGTCAGAGCTGTCATGTGACAATTAGCAGTTCTCTTCATCCATGGTGATTGTAGGTGGTGTGCTCAGAATCATAATTGAGAGATTTGCCTTACTCTCTTTATAGCTACAACACCAAATGGAAGTTTTAACTCTTTGTTTGCAAGTCTGAAAAACAAGACAAAAATTCCTGTGACTACACCCATGCTGTAAATCAGTATATGTCTTTATCTGCTGAATGTGTAGTTGTCTTTACCCTGGAGTTTTGAAACAACATCAATCTGGAACACAGGCTTTTACAAGTGTTTGCTGAGGTTTTGGAGAATTTAATCGTACAGCAAAATTTTTTTACATGTGCCTATAATGCTTTCAAAGTACATTCCAGTGTTAGCTGTTGAAATGATCTTCCTGCACTGATAATTCCTG